TAATCCTAATAAAATATTTACTTTTCTCTAATTTGTAAATTTAAAGAATTTTGGAAGCATCAAAATTCGAGTGTGTGTCACAGATTTTGATTTCTTTAGAGCTAATGTAACCCCAAAAATGACAACGCTATTCTCGTGAATATATGCACCTCCATCTTTTTAGTTATTATATCAATTAATGTTTCCTTCATTTTTCTAAAAGAAATCACAGGACTTACATGCTGTAAATCATGAGGTATAACCATTTCAGATACACACTTGTTTATCACATAGCTTAGCTTTTAGGCTTATCTAAAAGGATCAACACAAGAAAATAAACTATTGGTTACAAAATACAAAGTTATAAACTGAAGATTGAAGAAAGAAAAAGTTGTAAACCTGTTGAAGATTGAAGAATGAAGGTAAAAAAATGAGGAAACAAGAAGTCACGCTTGAGAGTCGTTGGCGTCGAGGCCGTGAAGTCGTTTTGCAGTTGCAGTACTCGCATTCGCACACTCACACTCGCAGCCACAAGGTCACACAGCCGATCTGTTCTCTCACTTAATTGAGAGAAACCAAATTTTAAATCTAGTCCTTAGAAACAAGGGAAAGAGATGGACTTGGGCAATTGGGCTTAGTCTTGAGTTACTGGGCTAGAAATAAACTTAAAATTTTGGGCTGGAAGCACATATATAAATTCGGTATTTCGGTATACCGAATTATCAATGTCTTAATATCGAAAACCGTACCCTTATACCGAAATATCGAAAATTTAGTATCGAATTATACCGAAAAAATCGAAATTGAAATACCAAATTAATCGGTCCGATTCAGCGTTCGGTTTTTCGGATTTTATGCCCACCCCTAGTTTTGAATCTACCAATCAAGAATATTTACGTAAGACAAAGTGTGTGTATATATTAGTTTATGCAAGATCCTGCCGGCTGCAGAGCTACTACATTAATTGCCTACATGAGTTTTATTACCTATTGGCAGTATTATTAAACTAATTATAAGATTCATCGGTACTCACGACAAAATTTAGGTAAACGTAACTAATTCAAAGTAAAGATTCCAAGTAAAAATGAGAAGTTATGGGACTGTTAAACTACACATTTCCTGTGTTAATTAAATGAACTTAAATTTTAAACAAAAACACCTTGTTACATGATCCTCTTATAGTACACATGCTCATTAATTTCTCGAATACTACAGCATGTTAGCTGTTTTGACGTGCTAAACTTCTGTAAATTGAACTAAACTAAAACCAGAATTCATCACTAGATCGACGAGCACTACTACCACCTAGTATAAAAAAAGATACTAGTAGCGAAGCGAGACATTCTTAGTGGAACATGTACGTGAAAATTGTATCAGCAACAATAACAATAAATTCGGTGTAATTTCACAAGTGGAATCTTAAGAGAATAGTATTTACGTAGATCTTGTACATGCATGTCTGTTTTTGCAAAAATGAAGAAACCCAAATAACCGCACACTCAACCACTTAAACTAAAAATAGCTATAATATACACATAATTTATGTATTATATATGTATAATTGTTCGTAATCAATGTATAATCTTTGTATATGGCTAGAAAAAGTAAACAATGAATATGACCGGCTATTTGTGTAAAGGATTAATCCAAATAGCCGTCCACCTAACCGCGTAAACTAAAAAAAGCCAGTAAAGATATAACATATGCATAATTTATGTATTATATATCTATAATTGTATATGCATAATTTATGTATTATATATGTATAACTGTATATAATCAATGTATAATCTATATATATGACTAAAAAAAAACAATGAATATGACAGGCTATTTGCGTAAAAATCCCTAAATAACCCTCGGCTGAACAAGAGCAAAAATAGGGCTGTTCATTGTTCGGTTTGGATCGATTTTTCCCTAAAAAGAAACAAAACCAAGTAAGTTGGTTTTTCAAATATTAGAACCAAACCAAACTAATTAAATCGTTTTTTTCTCGATTCAGTTTATGTCGGGTTTTGTCGATTTTTTGATTTTTTCGATTATTTATCGGTTTTTTCTTAAATATAAGACATACACTACCAAACACATATTCCGGGGACCACATATTCAACATAACACTATCAAATCAATTGCCCTTTGAGAAATCTATTATTTACTAAAATATATTGATGATAATTGAATCAAATAGTGATGAATAATTTAAGGACTCAATTAAAAATATATATTTTTTAACATGAAATGGATTCTTACACTTAACAAAAGAAAATTACAAATCAAACTAGAATATAAAGGTAAAAAACTATACTAAAAGTGCAAACAATTAATATTCACCATAAAATTTTTGAATCTTTGTAGAAAAATATACACATATATATATATAGGTGTAATAATAAATTTGAAATAGCTACCCCTATAGTCTGTTTGGTTCGGGTTTTTTCGATTATTTTTTGATTAAAACCAAAACCAAACCAAAACCAAACCAAATTTGATCGGTTTTTAAAATTCAAAACCAAAACCAAACCAAACCAAAAAGTATCGATTTTTTTTTATTTGTTTGGTTTGATTTTCGGTTTGGTTCGATTTTTCGGATTTTTATGAATAGCCCTAAGCAAAAACATAACGGTCTAAATACATGAAACTTGTTTGTACTATTAGAACGGTACACTTCAAATTGTGCCTATTAAAATAAATCAAAAAAATTAATTAAGCGCATGTGATTCACACACATGATGTGGCAAAGTATTGAATGAGGCAGAGACACGTGGGATTGGGCCCGAAAAATTATTTAAAAATTGAACTTTTGAGCAAAAAGGAAAAAAACTAGTTTGACAATAACTTTTCGAGCAAAAAGAATGTGATTCCGGATTTTAATTTGAGAAGCCTACTAATGGAGATACAAAATAGTACTTGTATCGTATATAAGAATAACATAGATAGAAAAGTAAAAAGGTACAATTACTAACCCAGTAAAACAAATGCTTAGCAACTGAAAATATGTTGAACGGAAGTTTCAAGATGCTGCAACCGGAGCGCGTGGCAATGAAATTGAAGTGGGCCCTACACAATCAGCAAAACTTATCCAAGTTTTTTGTCCAAGAAGACAATAATTCTCACGTGAAGCTATCATGTACAACACCTTTTAAAGCACATAAACACTATATTTCCAAGAATACCCTCGCAGTAAGCAGGCATGTTGACGGGGAGGAGCCTGCTAACTCTCTCTTATAAGATAGTATATATACTAGTGGGAATGGCCCGTGCTGACTTGATTAAAGTATTAGCTTATATTAATTTATAAAGAAAATAAATTACTTTCTACAGAGAACAACTTCCATTCTGATCAATTATGTATTGAGTATGTGAGTTGATTTGTTAAACATTATGGTCTCTGGGACGAAGTGCGTCGTAATCCCTTTGAATTATTCTTTGGATGACAGTAAATTTCTTTCGATTCAGTCTTACAAAGTTGGATACGTAGCAAAGTGAAGAAAACAAATTCAAGCCAAAAAAGGAGGTCATATTTACTGCCAGTCTTTCAACCCACTATTTACATCAGTTACAACACCAATATGTTTTACCGGCTAACAAAATATAAATGTACATGCCAGTAAGTTACACAAAGTGAACTGTGTTGTCCATGTTTTCTGCAATATTGCAAACAAAACGACGTCAGCAACGACAAGTGACAACATTTTCTGGTAGCTAAAAAAGTAGGGGTTGTTCTTTGCATTACCTGTCAAGCAGAAGCTGGCGATCTTCAAACACGTATTTACATAGTAGGATAAGACGTATGTACAAGCATTTTACAGAGTTATAACACCCTGCGAACCAAGCAGACGTAAGATCTATAATGACGCTTTTTTCGTCAACCAAAAACTGTTATCAGTAAACCACAAATTGAGAAATATGTTGCATAATCTTAGTCAGTTATACCAATACAAGGGAAATAAAATTGCAAGATAGAAAGTATAAATCAATCCAAGCACAAGAATGTCTTAGAGTACCTGTACAAATAAAGTAGTACTACTTTATAAGTATTTTTTTATGAGGAATAAAAAGCGCAACAATACTGAATTGAACAAAATAAGTCAGTCAATGCAGTAGTTATGTAATATATTATCATAGGAAATTAGAGAATTCTTTCGTAGGTATGTGTACTGTAATATTACTAATGTTTAATGAAAGATAGTGCAATTGAAATTTAGCTAACAATGGATTGGAAACATTAGCAACACAGTAATGTTTAGCAGTCACAGGCAAATTAGGAGTTAGCATGAAACTACTTCTTTCTCTGTCTGTTCTTTTTCGATTGGTTGCTAGAGGGCGTTCTTTGGAGAGGATGAATGTGAGCGAAATAGAGCTTATGAATGAATATAGAATGGAATGCAATATGCAATAGTCTTTTTTTTTGTTGAAGTTTCTTTTGAGTTGTTTGTGCTGCAATTATAATCTGCTACTCCTACATTAGGAGTCATAGAAGTTATTCTTGAACATGAGTAACAAGCTCCTAAAAGTTTATCAACTTAGTAATGAAAAAGTAGAGATAAAATTTATTAACCTTAATTTTTTCTTAGGGGGGGTCTCCAGTTCAGTTTGTTGCCTCTTGATAGAAGAGCCACCTTCTGTTAACTCGTTCTTCACCTCTTCTATGGGTGTAACTTGTTCCACATTCGACTGATTGTTGTCTTCGTTTTCTATCTCTTTGTTCAGCTCAGCATTTTCCAATTTAGTGTTACTGCTCTCTCCAATTTCTTCAGAGGCTACTGGTACGGACAATTGAAACAAATCTTCCTTCATAGAGTAGGACACAATGAGCAATCGTGTATCAGAAGTTCTAGAAAATATTTTTCGCAGTTGTATCTTGAAGAGTTTATGAGGAAGACGTTTTCGAACATGTTCAAGAGGTAATGGATGGTTCTGCAGGAGAGAAAAAGATGAATTTAACACATTAAATAGTACTCAAAAGTAATATACTTTGAATTAATTGGATGTTCTAAGCCTATAAAGTACTTGGGATGCAGAGGCTACAAGCTTGTACAGCCTTTAATTATCTTTTGATTTAATGATGAATTTAAGAAGCCAATTGTAATATTTAAGCGACCTAATGGAGATGTTTTAGTTTTCGATAGGCATGTGGAAATGGAGGTGTAAGCAGACATAATTGGTACTTTATTAAGAAAATTATTGACAACCTCTGTGCATTGGCAGTAATTAACATTGCCAAGCAGTACAAGTCAGATGATGAACTAATAAAGCAACATTGAATATTCAGGTAACAACCTAGGGTTAATCAATTAACAAGCATACGTAAGTCAACATTATTTTTCTTAATACAAGCAAACAAAATCTCATTTTTTTCACGTTTTGTTACTCTTCTTGTCTCTGACTCTTTATTTTTTCTCTCTTCTTAACTTTAAGTTCTAATTTTCAGTTATCAGTGAGATTTAATCTAAGAATTTTCAAGAGGTTAATGTTAATGTCCTTTCAAGACACTTTGTTGAATTTTTAGAATGAAGAATAAAGACATTTGAGAAGAATGGTTTGTTCTAATCACACTTGACTAAGTATTGGATAACTTGCAGTTCTTTTTTTTTTTGTGTCGGTGTCTGCTCCAATTTGCATGCAGGTATCTTTGGAAAAAACCAATCTGTCAACGAGAATAATAGTAATGTCTCAAGTTCTTATCTTGTAATGTTAAATTTAAGACTAAATGTTGTATTTGTTCGGGATGTCGGCGAGACCCATTTAAATTTAATTAAAATTGATTTTTGTTGAGCATTAATTTTTCTTATCTTGTTATTTTCTAATTTTTTTTCAGTATCGAAAAGCCTATTCACAGACCATTTATTGTTTTATGGAACTTCCTAGTTTTATTTTTGTTGTTTTAGAATAAATATCTTATTATTCTGGGTTTGGATGAAGCCTATCTAGTTTTATTTGTCATTATTAAAATCTACCAAAGTTCTGAATTAATTATGAAGATATTTCCCTTTATTGTTTTTGTTGAGTTTTTTCTTTTTGATATTCTTTTTACCTCTATGTATGGTTCTGTCTGTCTTGAAAAACTTATCCACTAGACCATTTAAAGTGTAGGTGAGACTGCTTTAGTTGTTATTGAAATTCAATTATAAACAAAATAGCAAATCACTTTCTTTAAGATATTTTTTCCAACTTATTTAATTAGTGGTTACATTTTATCTGCAAAGGCAAACATCAAGAAAGACATAATTGGAAAAAGTAAGAGAAAACTTGTTTTCACGGTATCATAGTTGTAAAAAAGTTTCTCCTGCTGCCATCAACAACGTACCTTAGCTGATATTTCACAGATATCTGTGGCGGTCATATCAAGAAAATTTTCTCCTAATTTGCCTATAATGTTGCAACAGTTGGTCCACTGCTATATGTCATTACAACCTCAAAGCGGACCCTAATATGCAATTAATTTGCGTTATTTCATTTTCATAAAGCCAATGAATGAAGAAACTTTCTTTCTTTGAAGATGTAGAACAAACATATTTTATTAAGCTCGGACTCCAACACGCAATACCTGGGTGTCAACATCGCACGTTGCTTGCAACTCGCACAATGAATAATTTTCGGCGAATGAGTTCTGTACTGCTGGCCGCAGTGGGAACACAGTAATTCATAAAAATCTTGATCGGCAATCGGAAATGATAATTTACCCTCCACGTAAAACAGTTGTATCTGTGAAAGAGGAGAATGCAAGTAGATTTATTTAGTTGGGCTAAAAATACTAAAGTTGTCTATATGTATACATATTAGCATGCGTGAAATGCACATACATGAGGTTGTGACTGGATAGAAACAATTGGGACAATATCATTTTGTTCTGCTGCAAGAACCAGAGACGAATCAACCGTCGTTTGCTGACTGTATCTCATTAATCTTGGTCGGTTGTCTTTCACCCTATACGTGTATAGAGGCATTTCAATGGCAACAAAATGTGAGGTACATTTAAAATGACACAAAGAGGTGGTGACAACTGACAAACTTAAAAAACATAGGAAATAACAAGAATTGGTTGTTCCAGTGACAAATTATTGTGCACATTACACCAACAACACTGAAAATCAACAGAAAGTACCAAAAAAATATTTCTTCTAGTTGACCACAATTATAATGCATATAACATAATTTTCAACTGGCCAGAGCTCCAACATATAGTACAAATGTGGTGTGTGGACATAGTGTAGACACGTTCTAAAAATACAAATAAGAAACTATTAGCCTCAGTGACTGTAGTAGTTCCTGTTGGAGGAGTAAAATTAATTTTGCAGAAATCTAGTCAACATTGAACAACAGTATCACCTTATTTGTCAGATGGTACAACAGCTATCTCCGAAAACCAATGCGGTGCAGTGCTATTTCATAGCTAATCAAAGGGGTAATAGTACATATTGGAAGCTCATAGAAGTACTGGTTATTCTTACCAATGTTATATATATCATACCAAAATACTCAGTGAATATAAGGGCAAAGTGACACTTCCCTAAGAGTTGTTCAGTAAATTATTTTGGTGAAACATTTTGCATATAAGCTCTAAGATTTTAAACTCATAAAGTTATATTGTAAAATGAGATGCAATGTAGTTCAAAACCATCTCAATTAAGATACACAGATGCCAAGTTGCTATAAACTTGTAATTAACTGAAAGAAAAATATTGAATTTATAATAGCCTACTAAGTATGTCTCTTTTTTTTTTGGGAAGAAGGGAAACACGGTAGTGCAGCTGGAAATTGCATATGCTGGACCATCTAGTTTAACCCACACATGTTTAGTTTGCATGAACTAATTAATCAAATATAAAATTCAATTATGTCAATATGTGTTCCATACCAGTTCAGAAGTCTTCCAACTTGAGGATATGGTGGATTTATCAGTATAACTGAGTTGTACCTTGTCGACAATAATAATCCTATATGACATATTATGTTAGCAAAGAATTCACAACAGATCTCTTGCAGTACCCAAAAAAAAAGTGTAATGTTTTTCATACCACCATAGCTGGCTCGCGTAATTCGTTTTGCTACAATTATTGGGAATTCAGCAACCTGTGCAGTGAAGATGCTCCCATCAGTGTCGGCGAAGTCTTCCCACATTGTAAGGATAGTAGGCCTCACACTGCAATAAAATGAATGGGCAATAAGTGACACTACCTAATAAAAAAATATAAGTGTAACAATGTCCGCAAGAGTAATAAAGAAAAGGATGTAAATATAAAAATAGCAAAGACAAATCGGTAAGACTAGAATTCAAACAATGCTATAAGTAACATGTTCGCGCAGGAGAGTGAAGGTTGACAAAAAGGTCATTTAAATGATGCATATTTTGTGTTTAAGCATACAAATGCAGCATGACCTATATAGTTTTTTCCGGTTTGGAACTAATGACTTCTGGAATATGTAATTGTCACCGTATTTTCTAAAATCTACACAGCGAATATATAGTAAAAATATACATTTTAGGATTCGAAAAAGAGAACAGATAAATTACCTGATAGATTGCCACGTATAAGGATTCAGAAGGGAACTTTTCTGTCTGTGTAGGAACTTAAGAACTTATATAAATAGTTTTTCATATGTTAATATATTACATTTTATCATTCGTTATTAAGGTTTTTTTTGTCACCCAAAAATATTTCTATAGAAAGTTGTAATTGACGTAGAAGAGTAAATAAGAGAGCAATTGGAGAAATGAAACACGTCTATGTAATATATTAGAGTTAGCTGCACAGTAAATTTTTTTCCAATGGATGATCTTCTAAAATGAGTAACAAACTTTCTTAGTCATATTATATATGAATCATGTTTTAGCTACAAAAATGACGCGGGCAGTAGAAGATGAGGAATATTGATGTCCCACTTACTAATGAAGTATTCTTGACTAAGATGTGTCAGATGATAGCAGTCAATGTATACATTAAAAAAAGGCAGTAATGGACATATTAAAAAAATATTGGTAAACACATATCAGGCTTCTTTGCATTTCTTTTCTCGTGAGTAGTATTGGATTTTACCAAGGCCAATATACAAAAAAAAAATTGTACTAGACCATGGTAATCTTTGACGAAGAGAAAGTTGGATTATGACTAAAAGCCTATACAATTTCTTTTTGGAGATCTTTTGGCTTGTTCTATTCGCAGAAAGATTAAATTTGTTGAATGAAACAGTAAGGCAAGTGTCATAGATCAAGCTGAAAATGCAATAAATGAGTCTGAAGAAATTTCTTTTTGCCAGCTTTAGTCGAAGAAGGTGACACTGATGAGGAGATGGCTGAGATTATAATCTCATGACATTATAACTTCTTAATTGAAGGTATCTGAGCGAAGTAATCAACTGAATAAGATGACATTGTAGCCATTTTTTTTTACAAGTAGTAGCGACAATAATAAAGTAAATAGAGTGCCAACAGACTTACTTGGTATCCATTACGACGACTTCACGGCATTTGTTATTGTTAGCGCCAACATACTTTATGGAGCCACAATTCACCACAACGGCAATTATGTCTATTTAGTGGACATTGCAAATGACTTATAATTTAGACCAATGTACACAGTGTCAGAATGTAACGATACAAATAAATTTTAATTGTTAGAGTATACTACGCGTTAAATAATGGTTACCAAATTCCGTATTTTGCTGCTGCTCGTGCAAATATGCAAAGGGTATAGTATTCAACCTTGTCGGCGGCAGGAGCGGTGGATCTTGTATATTATCATCTTTCACCTCTTCGACGACTGTGAATTTATCAATAACCCATTCAAAACGGTTGATAGGCACTCCGTAGGGTAAAGGAACCCTCACTTTTGCAGTAGATATCAAGTAAGTGGAAAATGGGGTGAGCTTGTCTGCATACTTTTCTATGTCTTCCCCGTACAGAACAACGACTACTTGCTCTTCCTGCAATTTGATAGAATGATGAGTTACTCAACTACCCTTGCGGAAGTGTATCCATATAGACACATGGAGACATACAGATGCAAAATACTGAATTATTAAAATAGTAAACAAGTACAGTATGAACAGCCTCAAACTCATGAAATACAATTGATAACTAATCTATACAGGAATTGGAATTTGTACAGCGCTACCCCCCAAAAAAAGGGGCGCGAGGAAGAATATTAGTCAGTCATAAAGCGTAACTAAAATTGTTTCATATCATTAACATAAAGTCAGCATCTCTCTTTGAACTAAAGAATCTGTAGTTGAACTCCCCATTGTCAGATGTAGATCTCATGCAGCAAAAGTAAAGAGAATCCACTGTATTGCATCACAAAATATGTAAAGTAATTATATATGTCTAAAACGTTTAAATGAGAGAAGAAACTGAGTCGGGAAATATTTTGTGACCACCCCAGAAAATCTAAAAGTTTTAGCTACTTCTGTTATGAGGCCAAGCTGAAGCTGCCACCACTTTTAGCAATCTTTCTTATGACGCCACCATCTCAAGCTTCCACCAGCTATTTTCTCTTTTCTTCTACTTGTCAATTGGAATTTAGGGGGCAAAGGATAAATAAATGCACAGGTTCTTGACAACATGAAAAGTTGGGCAAAACGATGGAAGAATAATAGGATAACCAAAGTTGTTTGTGAAACCTTGTTACTACTCGAAGCAACTTTGAATGCGGTTGACGATATTTCGTTCTCAGTCTCACTAATAGTCCAGTAGTAATGGTAGAGAAAGCAAGTTAATAGTTCCCTATGGATGACACCAAATAGACATGTTACAAAGTGTGGTTCGTATTCCATGCGGGTAGAAAGTTGGAAAATCTGTTGGTAAACAGGAAAAATAAAATGATGTATACATTAGTTAACTGAGAATCGGTATTACATGGAAAATGCGTAGTGTAGCAGTCAAAAGGTTTGCAACAAGGTAGTAAATAAAATGAGCTTCAAAGGATTGCAAATTAGCAGGGTGAATAATAACTTGTATACAATGTATGACTACCAAAGGACATTGACATATTAGTTACTCGTACTATTATTAGCCAACTAAGTAAAACATTTCAAGGACAATATCATGATTTCAATAATCTGTCAATTATGAAAGTCTAAGTTTACTTCGTTAGAGAAAACGTCTACATTTAATCCTTCAGCTTACTAAATAAAAGCATATCTGATCAGTTAACATAAGGAAAACAATATGGTTTTAATAATCTGTCAGTCGTGGAAGAATAAGTATGAACTGACACTCCTACAATTGAAGGAAAGGTCTAAAGTGCTAACTGAACGAATGAAAATCAATCGAGAAGAGTCTTTGACGTAAGAGAGCACTTTAAATTAAAAGGAAACATATTCCTATGTCTATGCCCAAGTATGTGCGAAACCTAATATTTAATTGGCATTATGCAAGTAATTTGTGAGCTGAAGTACTTCAATGAGCTGCCTATGCTATTATTAGCATTGTGGGTGTGTGTTCAACAAATACATGATCTATGAGATGTCTAGCAATTAAGAATGCTTCCATTTACTCTATTATTTGAAATAGTATATGTAATCTGAGTTTAACGTGATTTTATGTTGTTTATTGTAATGCATTAT